GTGTCGCATGGCTTGGGACGACTTCTGTGCAGCCGTGAAACGCTCGGCGAACCCTTCCACAGCAGGTCCGAAAAGGCCAGTGGGGGTGACCGGGGAGTCAAGGAAGATGGTTTTATCCGCTTCTTTGATCTCTGTCAAATTCAGCCACAAGTGGCGTTCCAGCACCACCAGGCTGGCCATCGACCTCCCAATGGCCTGTGCAGTAGTCTTTGTGGCGCGCAGGGCCAGATCGGTGGCGCTGCGCAGCTCTCTGAACGCTGCAGAGTGTTCTGGCACAGACTCATCCATGGTGCGAAGGAGCTTCGCCTGGTACACTTGGAGCACCGCCATAGAGTGTAACGCAGACGCAGCCTGGCCCGCCGAGGTGTAAGCACGACCAGCGAGGGCTGAAGTCGTTCGGCAGGGCTTCGAGGGATGAGTGGCCTTTGCATTCTATCCAATGGCAGCGGGGGGGCAGAGGGGTGCAGCCACCGCTTCGTCCAGAGGAGGCAGCTTATTGTAGCCCTTCTGTGCAGCGCCGTCGACTGTAGAGACAGAGGAGCGTAAATGAGCTGAGTAGGGGGCGCGCCACGACTTCGTCAGCTCGTCGTGAACCTCTGGGAAGAAGGGCGCAGCTCGCTGAGGAGGGGTCTGGCGGCGTCCCGGCAGAAACCACTCGTCTAGGCGGCTGCGAGTGGGCTCTTCAGGCGAAGCACACTCCAATCCGAGCTCCTCGACGGCTTTTGATAGGACACGGATGAGCTCGGTGTCCGTACCAACCCTGGCGTCGATCGGCTCCGCAGACGGCAAGGGGGCGGGGTCAGCAATGGAGCCCGACCAATCCTCAGCATCCGAGGCCGCTAGGGACATACTGTCATCAAGCGGCTCGTCATCCGATCCCCCAAACGAGACCAGGTCACTCGCGATGGCAGAGGGGCGCTGGTTTGGATGGGAGAACGAGACGGAGGAAACCTCTCTTTGTGGAGAGAGTGAGGTACGCGGGCCTTGAGCTGACGTAAGCTCACTCATATCCGAGCACTGTGATCCTCTACCCCGCTGTTTTTTCCTCACAGGTTCCTGGGAGGAAGGAAACGGGGGGGGCACGAGGGGAGGGGTCGCTTTCTGAAAAGAAAGCTATCCGCGAGCGCAAAGAGGCGAGACTCATGCTCTCGCAGTGGGAGCATGACGTCTCAGTGAGCGCGGCTGCTGCGTGGGATTTCCCCAGACATCACACGCATTCACTGTGCCCGTCATCAGCGTGCAGTGGTGTCCTGCATGAACCACAGCCGTGGCGCGACATTTGCAACAACGTCGCAGGAAATTTGCTCAGAAATTTGCTCGTTTTTGGTACCACAAGCAGGAAAGCGTCAACACAGGCACTCTGGAGACGGCTCGTGAGCGAAGCGCTGACCGGGGCTGCCTTGAGCGCGATGCGGGAACAGGGCTGCTTGAAGCGGCGATCTGATCCGGTGCTGCAAAGCGGCGCGCTGATCAGTGCTGCTTGAGAGCGGCGAGCTGCGAAAGGCGAGCTGTGGGCGGCGAGCTGCAAGCGGTGAGCAGAGAGCGGAGGCGGCGAGCTGATCTTGCTGCTGCAGAATGGCGGCTGGATCAGCTTGCAGGCGAAGGCTTCAAATTTTGTAGAATCAGCGAAGAGCAGTAGATGTCGTCGCTGAAGGAGAAAGAATCAGTGATCCTATGCCGAGCACCTGCTTATATAGCCAGATGCCCCGCCCATTTTGGCGGGCTCGGGCGCGCTGGTTCGCCATAGGCTCGCGCAGCTCCACTGCGCCATAATTGGTTCATTTCTGAAACAATGGCAGTGCAGATGCACTGCTGTGATTGAAAAAAAGGCTTCAGTAAATCGGAGAAAAGGAGTTTCCCGCAGCATCTAGCGACGCAGTACGAGTGAAGTATCGAAAGAGAACAATGGGATAATCGCCGATGTATATGGCGAACCCCCGTTGAATCCATACACAAGAATGCTTATTTCATTTAACCTGTTTCATGTCCGTTACTAGGCGTGTCCTCAGAGCGATTACATATGCTCTAAACTGCGTTTTGCTCCAGCTGTATAAACACAGATGCTAAATGCTGAAGGCTTCAAATTTTGTAGAATCAGCGAAGAGCAGTAGATGTCGTCGCTGAAGGAGAAAGAATCAGTGATCCTATGCCGAGCACCTGCTTATATAGCCAGATGCCCCGCCCATTTTGGCGGGCTCGGGCGCGCTGGTTCGCCATAGGCTCGCGCAGCTCCACTGCGCCATAATTGGTTCATTTCTGAAACAATGGCAGTGCAGATGCACTGCTGTGATTGAAAAAAAGGCTTCAGTAAATCGGAGAAAAGGAGTTTCCCGTAGCGTCTAGCGACGCAGTACGAAGTGAAGTATCGAAAGGGAACTCTGCATACGATTGCACTTGCTAATCGTTTATATTTATATTAGTTCATGTTGCTGTTGTGCAACAGATGAATAACAATTTATTTGTTTTAGATATTTTATGTTTAGATATTTCTATTTTGCGGGAGTCCCATGAATCATTTTATTCTCCCGCATCCCGCACACACACGAGTGTCTACTCACCCATCTTGTCCTGCACCCGCGCTCTGTGGCACTTGACTCGACAGTGCGTGTGCTACATCCTTACAATCTCTAGATTATAGAACACTGCATTCTGTCAGCAATGTAACGTGGCAGTAATGTATAGAGACCTCGGCTTGTAACTATACTCTAATTACTATTTTGAAAATTATAACGCATTAAATTACTCCGTTACTAAAAAAGTAATCAAATTACAGTAACGCGTTACTAAGTAATGCGTTACTGCCCAACACTGATTATGACTACGTAGTAATCAATTGTAAAGAAATTACAGATCCATCTTTGAAATCTGATTGGTTGATAACTTTTGACAACGTTTAATTTAGGTGCGAAAAGAATTAATATCTAGCGCATGAGCATAGAGAGATTT